ATTGGCGTCTTCTGAAACTGATCCCCAGTGCTCCTTAGAAAGGTTCGCAGCCGAGTGCGACATGACCGGCATGCGTGTGAACGCATATGAAACGAAAAGCCTAGTGATTTCTCGTTATCCTACCCGTTGCTCTCGTCAGATTAACGGAGAGGGAGTGGAGCAGGTGGAGAAGTTGAAGTACCTCGGAACTGTATTTAGTAGTGATGGAAAGTTGGAGGAAGAGATCGACCGGCGAAATGCAGTAGCCAGAGGAGTTCTGCGTGAACTAATCTGACCCATTGTGACTAAATGAGAGCTCAGTGTGAAAACTAAGCTCTCAATATTCAAATCGATCTTTATCCCTATACTTACCTATGGTCATGAATCATGGATCATGACTGAAAAACTTCGAATCCGGGTACAAGCTGCTGAAATGGGCTCTCTTAGTCGAGTCGCTGGCCTTACGCGTCTTGACATGGTCCGGAGTGGTGACATTCAGAAGAGCCATGGAATACAGCGTTTGCTTCTCCAGATTGAGAAGTCACAGCTGCGATGGCTTGGCCATGTGTTGCGAATGCCTCCCGAAAGGAAGGCTAAGCAACTGTTCCTTGCAAATCCCACCGGCATTAAGCCCAGGTGACGGCGAAGATTAACATGGTGCAAATATAATGAAGGATTCTGTTCGAGACTCGATTTGTCTTTTTCCGAATCTCAGACTCTGGCACAGAATCGGGAACGTTGGAAGCTCTGTTTGACGTGTCTGCCTCCGCAACCCGAAAGGAGAAGCGGCGATATAAAATGATGATGATGAAAGAATCATTTGAAAAAAATTAGCTGTCAATGGATCCCTGGGATCATGTTGGAGTAATAGGACAAATAGCGTTCCTGTTCTGACAATTCACTTCCTCGAAGTGGTAATACAGCAAAGGATCTCTTTTCTTATGGTCTGTTGACGAGTTGTACCGCAGCAGTTTGCATTCCAAAATGATGCTTGCATGCTCAACGATCCATTCCGAACGGACACTGACATATGCTAGCAGCCAAATTTAATTCGTATTTTTGGATGCTTCGGTCAACGCTAGTCGGGACGACGAATATATATTCCTCGATCTGACGAATTTAACCTGCCTATGTGATGTGCTCAATGCTCTTCTTATGTACGTTCCAGATCTGTAGAACAGTCAAAATGAAATTCGCAGCGAATGGTGAGGGCAATCGCTGGAGATATGGCTCAAGATAATTCGCACAGGAGTTCCAGCAGTTCTTTGATATTCTAGGCGTTCCGTCTTGGTAGCACTTGATGTTGAGAAAATAAATACAATGATCGACAATTTGTTCTTCTGCGCTTGCATTGCTATCTTAAAATTCTTATCATTAATTTACAAAAGTTATTCCCTCAGTGTCTTCAAATCTTATGGCCTCGTCAGGCTACACACGACGCCTCGTTCCTAGCAAACGACAAGACGGTTAAGATATAGTTGGCTTTACCGCTGAAAATATCAGGTGTTGTTCTCAAGTGCAGTGTCATATTAAAACTGACAGACTTGGAAAGTACCTCCGTAAAGGAACAGTTCACTTCGTCGATCGTTCTGCAATACACCACTACACGCGTGCGATATGTCGAGGCACGCAAGGCGGCAGCCATAGCAGTGACAAAAGCCAAGGCTGATTCCTGGAAGAAGTTCGGTGAGGTGTGGGAGTCGAATTTCCACACGGCAAACAAGGTATTCTGGCAGACCATCGGCCGGCTCTGAGGTGAAAAGACGGGCAGTCTCAGAGTCTTGAAGAACAGATCTGGACATCCTCTTACCAAGGATGATGACATTCTTCGGCGATGGCGGGAGTACTTCGAGGAACACCTTAACCCCGCGCAACAGCAGGAGGACTCGCCTTTAGAGCAGAAGGGTACGGATATTACTATCTCTGTAGACCAAATTGCGCAGGCTGTGAAAAGCTTGAAAAATGGAAAAGGTGCCGGAATTGACGAAATCCGCCCTGAAATGCTCAAGGCATTAGGCG